TATATAATGGAACACAAAGGCCTTATGAAGGCCTTAGTTCGTGAGAAACACTGCTTTTACTTCATGATCTATCATCTATCGGGACCAATTGTGTTTGTAGTGTTCACATCATTCTGCGCTGGTAAAACCTGAGCGGCGTGGCGTACAAATATTGCATTTCCTTGAGACTGAATCCCTAATAAAACCCAATATTTATCAATTATGGACCTTTTGATCAGGTCATTAAGGTGTTATATCGACCCGGAAGAAAAGTATTGACTGATGGCGAAAATATTTACCTTTTTTCAATTTCTTAATGCATTACTTGTTTGATTACTTTTTTCTAGCTGGTTTGTGTTTCCTTGTAGAAGCTAGAGGCTTAATCACTGCACACCAAGCGGGAGGTCCGAATCACACACCTAGGATGTTTACAAGATATTGTGGAGTTTCTTTCGAGAATTTAATATCAGGCATCATAGTAAAACATTATTTTTGATTATCCAACAGTGGCCTCGTCATGCTTTTTTTTAAAAATATTATTATTATTATTATTATTGTTTACGTTTAGCCCAAACATAGTATAATCTAAATATATCGAAGTGTACAAGCTGACTATGACGATTAGTTTCATAAGAGCGTCTCCTAGCAACAAGGAAACATGTCATATTTTTCAGGTAATCAATTTCCATTTTGTGAATTTTTTATCACAAATTTCTAATGAGCTCGAAGTCTTTAATATAGGCTCAAGGACGAAAGATACAAGTTCACATACCAGAACGAAACTCAATATCTGAACCAATATGAAGACCCCGTTAATAGTCATCTATAAATAATTCATCTTTGCGATAAAAGTTTACTTTATATCTTATCAGAAACATCCACATCCCTCGTGCTATCACTAATTACTATCAGCGATTACTGCTGAAATCATAAATTTTTGTGGAGCTTTTATTTTCGTTGATATTACTGGTTTTGTCCACGAATATTTATGTCCACGAAACAATACACAGAAAAAAAACACATATATTTTGGTAATAGTGGAGTTAGTAAGATTTATAAACAAAATGAAATTCGAGCGAAAGTGCATATAAACCTCGAAATTTATGTCCAACGAAAATACATTAGTGACAGTAAAATCCTTTGGTATCTTTTAAATAAAATACACCAGCTTATAGCAATTCAGTGTGAAAGGAACGTCGTTGAGAAATTAAAAGTTGAGTCTTGTTTACACTGACGTCTGTCCCTATTTAAGTATAGAATGGATTAAGCCTGCTGTATCTCACTGCATTTCGTATGAGACATCCTATTGTTACACATCCCTTGCAGTTTACGTACTTTCTCTATGCCTTCTTCTAACGGGACATCCGAGAGACAAAGAAAGACCCCTTGCAAAATTCTATCCTAACTTATTCTTTTATCCTTCTGCATATATGACCTTAGTTGTCCACCAAATACTCTTTGGCATAGCTCACATTATATTTGTGTCGCCGTTCATCCTGTAACAGGGAGGTCCTTCTGACTAGAATAGGGACTGGCACAGTAGAGAGTGGAAATTTATACATTCTCACTGAACAAGTGTTTGAGAAGACGGTGTTCATCATAGGTCAAAAACTTTTTTTTTCAAATTCAACTTGCCTTTAATTCCTGTGTATGTAGTGTCACACTATTTGATAGAACACAGAATGATATTAAGAAACTCTGATAAAGGCTTGGTTGAACAACTAGACGATCCATCGATAGAAATGTTGTTTTCATATAGAGTTTTGTAAGGATAAGGAATCCAATATAAAGGAGGGAAGTCCGTATCTTTATCATTACCTTGGAATATGAATAGTTATAATACTGGAGCGCTTTCAACCAGTATTTCTTCTTTGGAAATGATATGCTGCTAAGGTTTCCTCCATAATCGAGCAAGACTAGGTCTTTTTGTAAGCAGGATCTGTAATTATGTCTGCAGTGAAGGACCAAGTAATTGGATAACTTATCTGCAGGCACAATAACATACTTATCATGTAAGTCGTGATAGGTGGATTTAATATAAGTGTTTACCTCGAACTACTTATGTGTTTAAGAATGATAGACCAAACAGATTCAGTCCACGTTAGACATGAATCAAACCCTGCATGTTTTCATTTCACCCACTCTCTGGGATAGATTTTAACCGAATCAATATCCTGAAATTCATATTCAAAATAATGGACGGCGTTTCGAGTAATCAAAAATTCTTTCCACTGCATGATACCGATGAATAAATTTGCTTCGTGATATAGGTATAAATGTTTTGTAACTATCTCTGGGATATTCATGTATTGGTAGGAATATTTTTTATGGGTGATAGACACACAATATGTGACAGGCACACGAAAGCTGAACATGATGTATTCGAAATGGACAAAGCAAACATTCGGTGGTGTGTAGTATTTCTTAATTGAAAGTTAGCATTAGCTATGTTTATTCTAAAATGTGTGAATAATATCTGGTTTAAATAAACGTAGTCTTGTCAATAGCGGCGTCATATGAAATCGATTCCGACCCTGAATGAACATTCTCAGATCTTGTCATGTCAGTAAATAGTTAGTGCAGTAGAATGTTTTAAATGTATTGGATTTTAACAGTTAGTTTAAAACGTCGCGTTGATCATGATAATGATTGTACCAGTCTATTAAGTCTGATTAACGTATGCCCATCCTTTATACGTAAAATAACCCACTCCATACATCTGTAGGTTTAATCTATTGAATATCAGAATCTTGGCATTTGGGAGAGGAGTTATGTGGTCGAAAACCCAATACGATCATATTTGCCAATAGTGGCATGTTTGTTTTTCTCACCTTCAGCATCGATCTGTCACTCGAGAAGTGTTGGTCTGACCTATTTTCATCAATAAACCGCCCTGGTAACGACAAAGACACATCAGTGAGAGTAATGAAGTACGCTGCCTTCAAGAAAAGTTTGACATCTCTATCACAGTAGAAAATTGGAACATCTGCATAAACAACCAACACTCTGTCTCACCCAGTCAAAACTTTACACACAAACATTTTCCACTCAGCCCTTCCAAAACATTGTTTACAAACAAATTGATGTTATTTTATATCGTGAAAACCTTACATGCTTTTCTGAATAATAAGCCTTGTAAACATTAGATATGATAAAACATTTAAAACACAAGACTGTTTTAGAATTGTTTAACTTATAGCACTGAAGTAGATAAAAAAAATGGACAATTGTTGAACGTGTCTTTTGATGTGTTTCATTGTGTTTGTTTTGTATCAGTTAAATAATACCCCTGTTACCTATAAATACGATGAGAAGTAACGAAACAAATAAGGTTTTAGTTTTTTTTACTTACAAAAATGCACCTTCATCATACCATACCTCATAAACATTTTGTCATTAACGCTTTCTCCATATCTTACAAAATCATTGAGAAACATATCGGATAGATCTAGTTAAAAAGATACGCACTATCTCGACTGAAAATTCTTGTTCAGAACGATTCTGTAACTTGTTTATTTTGATTTGGTTGTACATTGTTTGTCGTCCTTTCAGGGTGGTCGGGTGGCGCAGTGGTAACGCACTCGCCTTTCACCCTGGGTTTGATTCCCGGAATGGATGTGAAAAAGACATGAGGGTCTCCTTCCCGATCACTTGGGTGTTCCCAGGCTATTCCGGTTTCCTTCGACAGGAAGACCCCTCGCGCTCTTCCATCCTGGCACACAGACTGTTTCGCATTTGTTTTTATATTTATTTATTAGGTCATTGCAACTTACAAGTGGGGATTTTCCCTGATCAAATTTCATCTCGTTTCTTCCATAAAAAGTTCCGTAATAAATCCTTCCGTATTGTGTGTCATCATATTGATAGAATAAACATGTCAAATGACACAGATTGTGAGTTAGAGTATTTTGCAAGGAAATATGGAAATCAATGACACATGGGGCTGGAATTATTCATGAAACGGATGGAGTTCAAATGAATTTTCCTTTAATGAGTAAATGCTATGTATGTGATACTGTATCAAGGAAGATCACATAAGGGACATGCATCTAGTTCTTTCTAATAGGCAAGTACATATTTGTATTACGAAAGTGATCTTAAACGTGTAGAACGTTTTTTAAACAGTGTTAATATCAAAATAAGTTATATTCCCGATTAGAGTTGCCACCCATGTATGAATAAAATATATACATAAAGTATATAACGATGATAATATCGTGAACAAGAATTCCCAAAAGATCACACGCATGAACGCACACGTGCTCACGTAATCGATTGTAACTATAAGCTTATTAATAAGTTAAACTATTATAGATATAACCGAGTATTTGGTTGAAAACATTTTCGTCATGATGACGTTAGTCAATTCACAAATATTGCTCTAAAACAACATCCATAAACTGCAATTCATGTAGTCATATTTTAGTGCAACACCTTCAATGCGAATAACACTGAAAATAAGAAAACTGTTAAATCCTGCACATTGACAGTAAGTTCTGTATATTTGGTTATATTTGCGGGCATAAAGGATAGACACATTCTGCAGTCTATCGAAGCATCCTGAGGACATCCCACCAGGTCAATTATCAAGACAGTTCATAGGATTTAGATCTCCGCTTTTGAATTTTTGTTATCTTTATACGAAGTACATGGATTCCAGAAGATGGAAGAAACATATATATACATAAATTCTGCAAGAAAATGTCCTCTATCAAAATTAACCAATTGATGGCGCAGCCTTCTTGAGTCGTCCAATATCGTTATCTTCTGTGTAATATTTAAGAAGTCATCAAAGTTGAGCGAAAACTCATATTTAGTTATGAAATTTCACTTTTTTGCCCATGTTTATAAAAGGTTCCAGTACGCCTTTTGTGCAATTGGTTTTAGTTGAGAGTGTAACCACAATCATGTTTTGCCGTTGGTCCGTGATCGGTATCAAGTTCATGATGTCATATGCAGCAGCAAGCAATGAGAGGTTGGACGAAACAACAAAAATATGGTGATCTTTCCTTTTCTTTCAGAAAAGCTGGAGAAGTAGAGAAGGGTAAAGATGCCTGTCTCAGCTGTGCTTGGGAAGTAGACCTCGAGGGTCAGAAGATACGGATATCATTCTGTAAGTAATCGACGGACAACTTTGTCTTAAAATGTCACAGGATTGTTCAAAAGGCACACACATCGTCATCAAACAATGAAAGCTATTGATGTACATATTTTATTGCCCTTATTTGCTATGTAAATGACATGTTTACCTCCAAAGATGTTCGTTATTTGCACAAGAGCCACGTATTGGTTGGAGGGAAACACGCTAAGGGCATTTCCCCATGTCTTGTCTGATCTGGTATACCAGCCAGAGTCTCACTTGTAAAAGATTAATGAGGAAATCGACCACCTAGAGTCAACAATGACTTTTATGATTTGAATAAAACCAATAATGTCTTGTTGATTATTTATCAACTCTATATTTGTTCAAGCTTTTATTTTTATATTGATATCAATCATATCGATGATGATGTTTAAGAAAAAACAGGTTGATGAAATTATGGTGAAGTTTTACGGCCGTCACAGTGATCTCATTGAGATTTTTTTTTCTTTTTGTGATATGAATCTGGACGTGTTTTAGACTCGTTAGTTTGGTTATTAGTTCCTTTTTTGTATACATTTTTCTGGATAACTCGGCAATACTTACTTGGATTGACCAAGATTTATATCGCGGATATTGTCGATTAAGCGGAAGACGCTTACTCTTCCTGAACACCTGGCCTTTTTCTCCTTGAACTGATTCAGGAGTCTCCGTGTAAAACTTTCTTTTGTTCATATTTTATTCTAACTTTATTATTATCATTATTATTTTATTATTTTTTTTCTTTTAGCACGTGACAACCTGCATGTATGGATTACTGGAGATCCAGTGGATACGACCGTAAGTATTAGATTTTTATTTATTTATTTATTTATTTATTTAACATTTGTTTATAGATAAATCATCACATAACACCCATTACATAAATGTTTGTTATAAAACGCATGTAATATGGCCTTGCGGAAATGCGATTGCCTGAAGGTTCTCGTTGTTTCCATAGTGACCACTTAGTCTCATGGCGCCATACGCATTTGTATGTAACCTAAGGAAGAGAATTAGAGTGGAAATATCGCCAGTTAAGAATTTTGCATCAGTCATAATACGCTATTTTCACGATTAAAGTTGCTCAAATATCTAAGTTATGTTATATATATAGAACCTGCATACGTTTCTATTACATGTAAGATATATGAACCTTCCACAGACTCGGTATAATGAAAAGAATTCCTGTAAGATCCCCAATTTTCATTCCTGTAATTATTTGGATTTAATTATTATTATGATGTCATCCAGCATGTTTCACAAATATGTCTTTTAATAAGATTGTACAACAGACACACGAATAAACACAGACGTAGCATCTTTCATTGAAAATGAGAGTTAGATATTTTTGATCCAAATAATCAATTAAATCATACAACTTTTTCGCCCTCCTCGGTCTCGTCAGTAATGCTAAATCATACAGCTGTTTCGCCCTCCTCGGTCTCGTCAGTAATGCTAAATCATACAGCTGTTTCGCCCTACTCGGTCTCGTCAGTGATACTAAATCATACAACTGTTTCGCCCTCCTCGGTCTCGTCAGTGATACTAAATCATACAGCTGTTTCGTCCTTCTAAGACTCGTCAGTGATGCTAAATCATACAGCTGTTTCGCCCTTCTAGGACTCGTCAGTGATGCTAAATCATACAGCTGTTTCGTCCCACTCGGTCTCGTCAGTGATGCTAAATCATACAGCTGTTTCGCCCTACTCGGTCTCGTCAGTGATGCTAAATCATACAACTGTTTCGCCCTTCTAGGACTCGTCAGTGATGCTAAATCATACAGCTGTTTCGTCCCACTCGGTCTCGTCAGTGATGTTAAATCATACAGCTGTTTCGTCCCACTCGGTCTCGTCAGCGATTTTTAATCATACAGCTGTTTCGCCCTTCCAGAATTTGTCATTGACACTATCTTATGCTAACAGCGCCATTTCTATATAGTTATTAATACAGATAACAATCTCCTCTTAGTAACAATAGAAAACATAGATATAAAACCGAAATAACGTTAGATTATCCTTTTTCTACATGGAAATACATGGAAAATCGAGAACAGACTATGTAGTTACTTCTGTTTGATACGAGATTTATAAAACGCGTCATATTTTTTTAACATAGATATACATATATATATTTCATTTTAGCTCGTTTTTTGAATTTTTTTAATTTTTTGATTCACATATCAAAAGGAGGCTCATTTAAGATATTTCTTTTTTACACTGTATCTGACTCATATGAATATATATATTTACCATTGGTTGTTCATAACAATTTTTTCAATATAATTAATTTCAGGCCTACATCAGTGACCACAAATACGACCTTGACCTTGATTTCGAGATCTGTCCTGGATACAGAGGTCATATATTCAGCGATGTCAATGACAATCGCACGGAGATCAAGAATCATTTGTTCATCAACGAGCAGAAATTTGCCGAAACTGTCCTCACGTATTCGAAAAATTCAGAACACTTCAAGAACATACGGAAAGGTCGATAACATACGAAAGCCCAGTTATCCGAAGCTTAAAAACCAAACTTAAAAAGGACTTTTTTCAGTCGAGTTTTTTTTTATTTTATGAACAACAGTACATGCCGACTTGCAATGAAATACTGTTAATTTAGTTCATTTGGCGTAATCCAATTTCAGCGCCTTGTTACGTTTTATATAATCAATTCATTGATAATTTCTCACATCCAGAACAATTGGTGTGTAAACAGCATAGGCAAACATTTTAGCGCAGTAAAATCAGCGCGAGAGACATTAAAATAAAGTTTACCGTTAAAATCAGCACATTTACATTACTTGAAATGTTCAATTTTGCGATTTTGTTCCCTTGTTTGAAAACATAATCAGATCGTATATATTTGTTTATTTGGAGTCGGTCTCTGTTATTTATTAAGAAAATCACGTAATCTTTCCGACTTACATCGTGTTAAAAGATTCATATTTCACCGCAAGTAAACCTACACCTGTCAAACGTTGCAGTATGTAAGTATCATGAAATTTATCCGCTAATTGATATATTTCATAACATGAATGTTGTTTTTAAATTTGAAAGCTTAAAACACACAAATTGCTTTTCATATTGTAAACTTACTGTTGTATATCATTGATGTCTAGTCCTATACTTGTATATATCTAGTGTCTTGTGTTCAAAATTTTGTGTCTTTTGTACTAAATCTTGTGTCATGTTCTAAATGTTGTGTCTTGTGTTCTAAATTTGGTGTCTCGTGTTCTAAGTTGTATGTCTTAAGTTCTAAATTTTGTGCCTGATGCTCTAAATGTTGTGTCATGTGTTCTAAATTTTGTGTCTGATGTTCTAAATGTTGTGTCATGTGTTCTAAATTTTGTGTCTGATGTTCTTAATGTTGTGTCTTGTGTTCTAAATTTGGTGTCTCATGGTATAAATTGTGTGTCTTAAGTTCTAAATTTCGTGTCTCATGTTTTTAATGCTGTGTCTTGTGTTATAAATTTGGTGTCTTATGTTCTAAATTTTGTGTCTACTGTTCTAAATGTTGTTTCTTCTTTTTTAAGTTTTGTGTCTTAAGTTCTACATTTTGTGTCTTACAATTCTTTGATATTTGTAATTTGTGTTGTAAACTAGTTGCTTTCTGTATTCAAAATCATATTTTAACTGAAATTTTTCATCATAGAATACAAAAAGTCATCCTTAGCTGTAGTTCATTGTCAGTCCTTGTAACATATATCCGAAATCAACCGATATACACTATTCGTCAGTCATGTTTTGTTTTGAAGGCTTTGTTTACATTCTGGTGATTAATCGTCAATAGCTTTCACATGATGGGTATCGTATAAAATTTCTTATAGACAAAGAAGAAAAAATGTGTTGAAAGTTCGGATAAAAGTCCATTAATTATTTGTGGATTGTTTAATGTTTTCTAATCATATATGGCACTTCATTTTAACGACGATTCGGCGAGGGGGAAAATCGTTTCATATATGTGAAATTCTGCTTATCATATCACATGGAGTTTTTTGCATAGGTTATTGGTTAAAATAGCATTTCTTAGCATTTAATAGAATTCAAAATTTAAATCAGTTTTAAATCAGTGATATTGTCCCTAAATATATCTCTGTCTTTGGCAACAGCACAATTTAGATGACGCCCTGGAGTTATGACGTCACAATGAAAGAATGCTAAGTTTCCGTCAACCAAAAGTAAAGAAACGCCCTGACACAGGAACAAGAATGACGTCATATAACCAATTATGTTAGATACAATGTGCAACCTTAACACATGTGAAATATCTATACCTTGTTTTAAAAGTTTTAAACAATTTTGAACATACATCACAAGGTTTCGAATATGAATAATCTTGGAGTTTGAATATGTCAAAGAATTCCAGTGTAAACCAAGGAAAAGATACTGCAATGTTTGACATGCTCTATATTAATCACGTGACGTGTTATTGCCCAATGAACAAGTGAGTTGGTCTTTTAAGCCTCGTACATTAGACACAAGGAATGTGGCGCTTTACTTTAGAATACTCGTTCCTGACAATACATGTGTTACCTGGTGTATGTGTGGAAGGACGAGTGACTGTGTTTTAAATGTAACTGTGTTTTTTAGATTAAAAGATCAGAGTTCAATTGCCATGGTTGTGTTTTTATGTTTCATTCAAAAACTTTGATAAAAGGGAAGGTTTCATTAAAAAAAAGCGGGGGGAAGGATTTTTTTTTTCAAAATGTCACAGGTGTGAATGGAAAAGTATCAACGAATTGGACCAAAATGTTTCATTGCGAAGGTGAAAGGAACTGTTTCATCAGAATAGAAACAATGGTGGTGAGACTGTTCCTTCCAGGTCGAAGGTCATTTCTTAACGCCGATGAAAAGAGAATGAAAAGTTCTCAAAATGTTTCAAATCCAAGACAACAAAGGTTCATGTATTCTTGAAAATACATCATCTTAAGCATATTACCTACGAACCTACAATATATCTATCATAAACATATTATTAGCATTGTATGGCATCGATATCACGTACCAATGCCATTTGTGTATTACCAGCTCATGAACTGCCAACATCGCAGGAATATTACACGTAATGTAGACATATTGGGGTTGGCATCCTTGATCAGATGAAACTCGTATGCGGTAAATACAAGCATTAGACTGCTAAAACGCATCGTTAAATTTGCACTTTTCTTGTTGGCATTCATATGCCCATAAACGCCAATTGAAAGCAGTGCAATACTTACATAAACTGAACCAGTGTATTATTAGGAACAAATTGCCAGCTCACAAGTGGTTTACCTTGTTTTATCATTCTTTGTAGTCAATCACAAGAAATATGATCAAGGACGGTTTCAATGAAGAGGGGAAAGAACTGTTTCATATCACCCGGAGCATCCATTTTCTATAACGACAATTATTTTTGTCTGAATTTCTTGTTACTGATGTCAAACCCATATAAAAAGAACTTGTCTGATGATTCTGTGATTGTGTTTGTCAATAAGACATTCAAGAGCGTGATCCTTTGATGCAAATTGTATTTAATCCCTTGCCTGTAAAACGAACCAGGCTTACAAAACGACATAGAGAAATCCTTATTCACATTGTCCAGTTTTCCCAAGGAGAAAATATTAGTTATTTGTTCATTAGCATAACAAAACTCGAAAATAGTCAAACTAGTAATCAAGGCTGTGGTATCAGCAGTCTTTCCCACAGTACATTGACTTCTCCGAACTGCACTTCCGGTAGAGAATGTGGCTGGAGATGTGTTGAAGTTTATATTCATGTTTCAGTTTCATAAAGGGAGGTAATTTGGCGTCGCCGGAAAAGAAATTCTTAATTATATATCATTTACTGGTAGTAAAAGATAAACTAATTGTGCTGATATTGTATATTAAAGAAAGGGACACAATGTTATTTAATAATTAACTATACTTCATCAGACTTTGGGTTTACAGTCCCAGTTCGATTGATAATGTTTATGCAAATTCAGATCTTACTCTCAGACATTTCGCTAATGGGGTTATTTTTTTTATGTAAAAATGGCATTTATTGCATCGGCGATCAGTAAGTGTTTCAGCAAATTGTTGTTCAACTGTTTAATCGATATACCGTGCCACTTACAAAATTAATATCATTCTAATGTAGATCCATTAGCCCAGAGCAATAGTAAAACATTGTTATACTTTGTAAAATTGATTTTCAGCGGCAATTTTGAAAACAAATACAAGTAGCTAAAGCATGGAAATCATTGATTTTGTCCACATTAGAATAATTGATTTATACTAAAACAAGTTCAGAAATAGTGCTGCTCGTAAAGTAGCCCTAGTGCGACATCGGTAAATAAAAACCACAATATCATGCTTCAGTTGATAAGACCAAAGACTCGTTGATTAAGCATCATCCATACATTAAATGTTTGAGTTGCTTTTGTTCGGAATCAACAGAAAAATGACTACTGACTGTTATATAGTGAATTGGCCCATGTACTAGTTTTGCGTACAAGTCACTGAGGTAATATACCCTAGAGCATTTTCTATTGGCTGCGCCTGTCAGAAATCGATTCTGATTACATAAGATGGACAATAACGTTATGCATGACATGAAAATGCCGCAACAAAATAACTGTCCCTGTTAAATATTTCCTCCAAATTTTTACCTTAAAACCTGTCAACATCTATTTTTAAGTTATGTGATAAAAAGAATCTCAAACCGTTTAAATCAAAACGCGCAAAAATAAACACTGCTAAGACTACTTTCTTAAAACCTCATATGAAATGAGATCTTATTTAAGATTCTATACATGTTAAGTATATTAACTTTGGACAACTTCTCACCTTACCGAAAAAACGTATGGATCCCCCGTGGATGTATGCTTCAAATTTCTCATAACACTTTATTTGACCTGGATAAACATTTTGACCGCGCTTGACAAAGCCCGGTACGCTTACACTTCCGTAACAACTTGTCAAAGTTTCACTATAATCCCTAAACTACAATTTGCTTTTGGCAATTTCCCCGATTTTCCTCACATGAAACTAGGACAGAGCATTATTCTCGTTCCTTTTGACCAATATCTCTGTAATTCTTTGTTACATTCGTCTTTTGTTCATTTACAACAACCCTTCTTTGTTTAGACACAGCATACTAACATGCCTATTGTATTCTAAAACTTTGACGTTAACAACCCGCGTAATTTACAATATCTGAAAAAGTGCAGTTTACACACCAGTAAACAATAAAAAAAAGAATAATTATCTCCTATATTTATATTTTGACATTTGTTTTCGTTACTTTAAATAATAACAAGTCATTCATTGAACAGTATATGCATTAACGGAATAGTATAACTGATGGAATAGAGAAATGGCTAATTTCAATCCTGCGGGAAAGGTTGTCAGACTTGACGTTCACCGAAGTGTAAGGACCAGTTAAGTTAGTTAGGGAATACACACCGGAAGTGTAAATATTGAAATAGTACCCGACCAAACAAATTTGTTCAACAGAGCGTATCATATAACCTGTCATTCATATTCATTCTTAATATTCATGAGATATAAATTAGGTATACTGCTGTATCAAGTGCCTTTACACTAGCGACATAAACTCGGAAGAATTATCTTTTTAAATCTTTATCGTCAGCTCAATCATAGACCATGCTGCTGCTTCTGGAACACCTGGTATTATTATTCTTTTTTTTAAAGAGCACCCGTGTAAATCATTCTTTTGTACACAGCATGTCATAGTTTCCAGAAATTTGAGAGAATTTTGTTAAAATGTCAATTCTCCATTACATGAAAACGTTTTAACGTGTCGAGTTTCCCCGTTTCCCATAAACAGGAGGATACATTTCAGTCTAGACAGCATGTCGAATAGTGTTAATTTTGTACCGTAGCAAATTAATTTGATGGTTAATATTGATCGATTCTCACAAAATAACAAACACAAATATACAAGACCTCTAATTATTTTAATTTGAAATCTTTCGTACGTAGACGAGAAGTATTGTCCACGCCATTCAGACAGGTATCTCACCATGGACCGATACCTGTACACTACACAACATTAACGTGTGACATTGTATGCCGATTTCCATACCTCCAATACATTCATCTACTTCTGACACTCATAAAATGCATACACAGCCACATGTGTTTCCCTTTCCATACATCTATCTTCATACACACACTCATAAACAAGAATTTATTTTTCCAATCACTGACTAACGGAAAGCAATAACTACTATGATGGTTCCGTTTCATAAACCTCGTGCATTCATTCACTATTTACACAACCTCGTGTGCCCAACACAACCTCTCCTTTGCACTACACTCACAAAATATGGGCACATCCACACATTCGAGTTAACACTTCACATCCACACACACAGAGAAGTTGTTGTGACTATAAATATGAATGAAAGATGTGTAAAATTAAACGTACACAAAAGAACCATTAAGTCATTCTCTCAAAAGTTCATATATCTAGTCATTACGAGCAAGACTAAAGAATATACGTCCATATATTTGGATGGCAGCCTTCACGTTTTTATACAAGGTGGTCAGAGTTGCGTAGAAAATGACAAATATGAAACAATTAATGACATGTTGTACCTTATTTAACCGGAAATAAGACTTTGTCAGGTGGAACACCCATCAAAATAAAAATGCTGTTTCTTTCTCCTACATTGTCCCTGTAGTCACAAGTACAATGATGGATCCCCCAATTCAAATTAATACATTATAAATCATCGGAGAAAAACACGACCCGTTCTTCAATAGACAACAACAAATTAGCCACGAGTTTAAATCTAAATCCTCTATTAAAGGGGATTAAAGTTGAGTTCAACGCTATGCGGTAAGTCATGATGGTTATAATTGCTAACTAGATTCTTATAATAACATTTTGTACAAATATTTCTGTAAAAAGTTCTTTTGAGCTAGAACAACACATTTTCTGCCCTTTATCTAACAATGTTCACTGCAAAAAAATATGCTATTCAACATTCTTCCACGAAATTTACTGGAATCGGGTCTAAAATTTGAAATTTAATTTATTTCTTTTTCTTTCTAGATATTTCCTTAGTCAGCCAATCCTTGGTTTTTATATTTAACCATTATTGTTTTTGTCTTCTCTAAAACATTTCCTACAAAATATATATATTATTGTTTTTGTCTTCTCTAAAACATTTCCTACAAAATATATATATTAGCAGAACATAGGACAAGTTAACTTTGAGGAAATAAACCGCTATTTTAACAAAGTTATTTAATAGTGATTCAAACACATTTTCATAAGATATTTTGCACAAAAATTTAAAACTGCAATTATGTATCATTCTAACGCTATGTACAACCTTTCTGATCCACAAAACATCAATAGCCACATGCTTTCACATTTCAGTTTTATACACTTGTGTACAAATGGTCTGAAAAGTTTCACTCGTCTTTAAAATTAAGTCTCATTTTCAACTATATGTTAACAGATTACACAACATAGAGAATACACACATTGATATGATTGATATATAACTTACTACAGACTATTTAGGACAGACTTTTCTAGACTTATGCGCATCTAAAATTCAGACTGCAGTGTATAATGTAACGAGGGCGGCAACAATTGAAAATGGCCTGCAGATTAATATTCGAACAGAAATCATCCGAACTCTAATTCTAGCCAGAGATCGATCAGCAGTTCATATATAAAAGATGTATTTATTGGTTTTATGCCACACGAAGGAGCCTTAACCTGGTCAACTGCAATATCCCAGTAACATATGAAATATCATTAATGACCTTTGACCTCCAATATCGGAGTAATAATTTCAAAGATTTAGCCAGAATCGAATCTTATACATCCTGTTAAAGCTTTCATTTTATCCCAATGGACTGTAACGTTCATACGCCAATATAAAAATTCTAGCACACAGTACGTCAAAGTATGAACAGTGAACAATGGACACTCGTGACGGCAATACTTGTACATTTACATAAATATTTGTGTCCCTTTCCGTACAAATATATTCCATACAAAAAAGTATTGATGTTGATCTACAAATTGTAAACATGAATCCAGGAAATGTACAGTATTTTTATGAGAAATGCAAAACAGTAATTTAATGTTTCATGATAAATAAATTAACACTATATACCTACCATTGTAAAATGCTTAGACAAGGGCAGACAACTCGCCAAACGGTTCACCATTCACAAAAGTGGAGAACTAATATATCTTTTATGATAAAAACACACAACTGACGTAATGATGACCATAAATGATAATATACACCATTTTATCACGTAATCTTATGTGATAAACGTTGTCTGCCCTACAAATGTATATATAACGATAATATGACTTTTCTTGTAAATATTAAAGAAAAGCTTGAGACAAACTTTACAATAAGCGGAATACCAGATTCCCCATACATCAACATTGGAATACCTGGTTCTTATGAAGTAAAAATATAGCGAATCATGGACTCTCTATCTCTAACAATGAAAGCTGCAATGATTATAAAGGATGCGATAAAAACGACTAGTTATAGGCCTCAACAAACGATATAAAAATAATGACATTTTAGGGACATCAACTAAATGGAACATTGAAAGGCAGTTCCTAATGTTACTGTAAAAATCCATACTAGAACAATTTTTAGCATTACTGTATCTTATTTTTTGTTAAACTCGAATTACGGGACAAGTTTTAAACAATGGTTTATCACTGGCAAAGTATAGCAACTTCAGCTATACGTGTAGGTGACAGGGGGAATTAACGTCAGGGAACCGAGTAAAGGAATGGTAAAAAGGGAGAGAAATACACTTAGAATTTAAACGACAAAGGTTTGTACCATCAGGACAGTCTGACACCACCAGTACATTGTCTGAGGCACCACTAGTAAACGATCTATAGGACTACCAGAATATGGTCTGTGGTGCCAACAGAACGTGGTCTATGACATCACCAGAACATGGTCTGACATCACCAGAACAAGGTCTATGACATCACCAGAACATGGTATGACATCACCAGAACAAGGTCTATGACATCACCAGAACATAGTCTATGACATCACCAGAACATGGTCTGACATCACCAGAACAAGGTCTATGACATCACCAGAACATGGTCTATGACATCACCAACATGGTCTATGACATCACCAGAACATGGTCTAAATTCACCAGAACAAGGTCTATGACATCACCAGAACATGGTCTATGACATCACCAGAACATGGTCTATGACATCACCAACATGGTCTGACATCACCAGAACATGATCTATGACATCACCAACATGGTCTAACATCACCAGAACATGGTCTATGACATCACCAGAACATAGTCTATGACATCACCAGAACATAGTCTATGACATCACCAGAACATGGTCTATGACATCACCAGAACATAGTCTATGACATCACAAGAACATGGTCTATGACATCACCAACATAGTCTATGACATCACCAGAACATGGTCTATGACATCACCAGAACATAGTCTATGACATCACAAGAACATAGTCTATGACATCACCAACATGGTCTGACATCACCAGAACATGGTCTATGACATCACCAACATGGTCTAACATCACCAGAACATGGTCTATGACATCACCAGAGCATAGTCTATGATATCACCAGAACATGGTCTATGACATCACCAGAACATGGTCTGACACCACCAGAACATGGGCTATGACATCACCAGAACATGGTATGACATCACCAGAACAAGGTCTATGACACCAACAGAACATGGTCTATGACATCACCAGAACATGGTCTATGACATCACCAGAACATGGTCTGACATCACCAGAACATGGTCTATTTGAGGACTAGATGGAAATATTTGCATCTAAGAATTGTCAAGCCAAGTGTTCATTTTCAACATTCTTTGTCTGTGTTTATACTACAAATGATAGATAGCTTAAAATTTCAAGGACAAAATGTGTTTTGGACTTTTTTTGTTGAAAATTAATTCATTAGTCATTTGGCTGTTTTGTGGGGTTTCTCTTCAAAATCACGATAAAACCATAAGTATGTGTTATAAATACAAAATGTCTCTAAACCTTCTGACTTTTAAATGAGAAACTTTGGTTTTATCAAGTAACCGGACAGAAATGATTCTCTGTGAGGTGTAAGTCAATAAGTAAGTAAGTAAAAATACTACACATTAATAGTGCAACTTGTACACCCAATAGCTTCAATACAACCAAGGTTATATTTAACGTTCAAATGTCAATATATTTATGTACAATAAAAATATTGCGATAAATTTTCATGTCATTTAAATGAAATACAACATAAATGGATTTTGGATGAGTGTAAATACATATGGCACAATGTCTATTGTATTGAACCTTATCAATATAAATTCATTAAAAGGGATGCAATATCTGTAATGGAAAGAGGTAGCAAAATCATCAACAGACAAATAGGGGTAAAAAATAAAAAACCATTGATATAAAGCCACTATACAAAACATCATTAATTTCTCCTTATCACAACGGAGAGAGAGAGATTGTAATCTGGACAAAAAGGAATTTACATGTATATAATAAAAAGGAATATTTACTCCCACATATCGATTTCTTAAAATTTCGTGTTTACCGAATATTAAGGAGATGGAACTAAACAGTAAGATATCATTGCTATTCTGGGCATACATATTTGACTTTCCCGATATCATTTAAACTTATTTTTTTAAATGCGTCGATTGAACAGTTTCAAAGTTTTAGTTTTTGGTTTTGTACACGAGTATCATGGTTCCTTATAACACAATTTAATATCTATACAGTATTTTTTAAAAATCCAACAGCATTGTTTTTACATAAATCATTAAAATATTCAATAAATTTGTATTTTTGATACCATAATGACCAAAACAGTCCATTAAAAGCTTTTCTACATAACTAGGTTCAAATCTACTTTATACACATGGCTTGTGATGAAGGACATTCATAGGAAACCTATACTACATCAAAGTCTTGTCCTAACATACATACTGTGAGCTCAGCAGAAAGTATGTTGTGTGACCGATAGATGATATCATTCACACAAACACTTCATGAATATATATTTAAGAAAAATGATTATACATGTATTGATGCATCTAACTGTCACCAATTTTTGTACACTGAAAATCCAAATGTTGAAAAGTATGTCAAAATGTCTAACATGATTCATAGTACATGATATCTATACTTGTATGACATTGACATTGAAATCTTTACAATGTCTTTTGTATACAACCGGCTTGGAAGTTCCTTTTGGTAACATATGAAACTTATTACAAACGGATGCCCCGAGTTAATAAGGAGAGACACTGTCACTCTTTCTCCTTGAAAAAGTCATCATTTGTAACATACTTGACAATATCAGCAATGTCCGACATGCTATCCTCGTCCTCTGGTTCAGCTGTGGAATAGCTTGTGTAGTCAGGTCGACCACAGTGTGGCGGGGCAGGTCTTCCACTGCCACCTCCACCATCCAGCTCCGTCAATGTCCCCTTCTTTGGTTCTTTCTCTAAGAGCTTGTCAATCATGAACCCACCACCTCCACTGCCTCCATTTGGTGTGTGACCCATTGGATGGGGACCAGTTCCATTAGCACCATATGGGTACCCTCTTGGGGGCATTCCCGGATGAGGAAGTCTCTCCCCTGGTCCATACTGGGGCCCATAATACTGTCCTCCATATGGCCCATAAGGTCTAGGAGCTCCCATATGCCCATCTGGACCTCCAGGCCCTCCTGGTGGGTATGGATACATTCCTACATGGGCCTGGTGGGGAGCCATCTGTCCTGGGTGCATTCCAGGTGGAAAGGAGGCTGGTGGGTTCTGTTGGTTCGCTGAACCTTTAGTCACACTTTTCTTTTTGCCTTTCCCCTTTTTCCCTTTGACAGGTTTAGCTGGTTCAGGAAGGTCAGTCCCGGACTGGGTACTAAAAGGAGGTTGATTTGGGGTCATTGGGCGCATTCCTTGTTGCATTGGAGACATGTGAGGTGGTGAACCATAAGATCCAGGATAACCTGGAGGAAAGTTACCCATGTGAGGACCTGGGTACATACCTGGAGAGAAAGGAGCACCTGACCTTGGATGGGGTGCCCTCTGTGAAGGCATTGGCCCCTGCTGGCTCTTAGGACTCATGATAGGGGGACCCTGGTTTGGGGCCATAGGACCATGCACAGACATTAAGGGACCCTGATTTGGTGCCATTTGACCACGGGCAGACATTGGGGGACCCATGTTTGCAGGTATTGGGCCATGGGCAGACACTGTGGGACTCTGACTTGAGGGCACTGGGTCATGGGCAGACATTGGTGGGCCTTTGTTTGGGGACATTGGTCCATGGGCAGACATTGGGGGACCTTTGTGTGGCGGCATTTGGCCATGGGAAGATATTTGCGGAACCTGGTTTGGGGATATTCGACCAGTAGTTGACAATGGGGGACCCTGATTTGGAGGCAGTTGGCCATGGGCAGACATTGGTGGACCCTGGTTTGGGGGCATTTGGCCATGGGAAGACATTGGGGGACCCTGTTTTGGGGGCATTGTGCCATGGGCAGACCTTGGGGGACCTTGGTTTTGGGACGTTTGGTTATGGTCAGATATTTGGGAACCGTGGTTTTGTGGGATTTGACAATGGGCAGACAATGGGGGACCCTGTTTTTTGTCAGACATTTGGGTGTCTTGGTTTTGAGGAATTGGGCCATGGGCAGACATTGGAGGCCCCTGATTTGGAGGCATTTGGCCAGGGACAGACTTTTCAGAACCTAGGTTTGGGGGCTCTTGGCTATGGCCTTCCATTGCAGGGCCATGACCCGAGGACATGGCACCCTTTGCAGGCACTGACGGGCCTTGGTCTGAGGGTAATATAGGCTCCTGCTTTATGGCCATACGCACTGCAGCTGACGATGGGGGGCCCGGATTTGGGGGTAATGGACCCTCAGCTGACTGTTCAGCTGGCTTAGAGCTGTTTTGCTTTTGGGGAATCGAAACATTGGCAGACATTTGGAGTTCCTGGCTTGGAGCAACAGGAACTTGGTCCGATACTAACGGACCTTGTTCTTTGGACACTGAATCATGAGTTACCATTGCAGAGCTTTGGCTTTGGATTTCTTGACTCTTACTTTGCATTGGTGGTCCATGATCTTCAGAAGATGTTGCTGGTGCCTGACTTGAAGGCATTGGTCCATAGCTTGATGCAGGTGGACCACGATTTGGGGACATTGGCCCATCAATAGGCATACGACCATTATTTGGGGGCATTGGACCTTGGCTAGTTACTGGGGTCCCACGGTTTGGGGACATAGTTTCTAGGTTTGGCATTTGGGAGCCATGTTTTGGGGACATAGAATCTTGATTTGACATAGTGTCTTGGTTAGGTGATTTTCTACCTTGGCTTGAAATAGGACCTTGGGAAAAGCCCATTTGGCCATCACCGGTTGAGAGGGGAATTGAGGTACTTTGGTTTACAGGCATTCGTCCTGGTATTTGTGGAGCATGTGAGATGGATGTTGAACCAGCAGCAGACACCATTGTGGCTGGTGATGGTGACATAGGACCTTGGTTTATTGCTTGAGGACCCTGCTTGTGAAGTACTGGAGACTGAGTTGGTGTTTTAGCGGTAGGATGAACTGGGCTAGACATTTTTGTTCCTTTGGAGTTAGGCAGAGTCAATGCTTCAGAAATGGGTTTATTTGGTATAGGATCATTAGCTGGTACTGGATGTCCCTGTGATGTAGGTATGGGCCCTAAACTTGAGCCTACTGGAGGACTTTTAGGTGTGGGACTTTGTGATACTGGGAAAGGAACCTGGTTTTTCTTACTTTTTCCCTTTTTTGCCTTTTTACTTGGTCCTGAAACTAAGGGTGGGGGCTGGGCAGGTGCAGTACTCAGACTAGATCCCATGGGAGGTGATTGCAGGCTAGCTTTTGAAGCTTGCTGTGATGTACTTAGGCTTGGTCTCAAAGGAGGAGGGCCAGGGTGATTGGGCAATGGAGCTGAGCCCTGATTGGACATTAGGTGGTGATTTGATGGCACGGGATGTCCTTGTGAACTGGACATAGAAGCCATAGAATGACCCGGTGGAATGGCTCCTTGCTGACCAGGCATGTTCCCTGGGTGACTTGCAGCATTAGGATATGGGCCAACATTCATGTTAGAGCTGTCACCTGAACCTTGATGCATGTGAGGATTAGGTCCTTGTGGAGGTGGAACGTTTCCTGTGTTAGGCATTCGACCAGGTCGTGGCATTCCTTGTGGCATCTGACTTGGATGTGGCATCCCCTGTTGTGTCATTTGACTTGGGTGTGGCATTCTCTGAGGTGGCATTTGACCTGAATGTGGCATTCCTTGCGGTGGCATTTGACCAGATTGAGGCATTCCTTGAGAAGACATCTGACCTGGACGAGGTATACCTTGGCGTGGCATCTGACCCGGGTGCGGTTTTCCTTGTGGAGGCATCTGACCTTGTTGTTGCACTCCTTGAGGGCGCATCTGACTACGATTGGGTGGACCCTGGGTTGGCATTTGACCTTGATGTTGCATGTGACCTTGATGTGCCATTCCTTGTGGTGGCATTTGACCATGATGCGGCATTCCCTGTGGAGGCATTTGACCTTGGTTTTTCATGCCCTGTGGTGTTATTTGACCTTGATGTGGCACACCTTGTGGTGGCATTTGACCTTGATTTTTCATGCCCTGCGATGTAACTTGACCCTGGTGTGGCATGCCTTGTGGTGGCATCTGACCCTGGTGTGGCATTCCCTGTGGAGGCATCTGACCTTGATGTGGCATTCCCTGTGGAGGCATCTGACCTTGATGTTGCATTCCCTGTGGTGGCATTTGACCTTGGTGTGGCATGCCCTGGCCTGACATTGGACCCATCGGTCTGTGCATGGGATGACCTGGAGGATTATAGGGGCTGCCCTGATACATTTGAGGATAGCCTTGGTGTTGTGGGTAATAACCTTGTGGAGGTGGTGACATGTACTGCCCGTGGGGAGGGGAGCTATATGGAGGAGGCGACTGTCCCGGAAAGTTCCCAGGACCCATTGGTCGAGATCCATTGCTGTACTGGGGTTTTGGATGTCTGACTGGATGAGACGGCATCCCTGTGGAGCCATCAGAAAAATGATCCCGACTTGAATCATCATAAGGTGGTGGTGGAAACTGTGATCCACTCATTTGAGATTCCGACCCGCACGTGCTGCCTGAACTCATCCTTCTGTCCATTACATGAGGAGGTATACCCCCATCAGAGCTTTCTCCTCCAACAGGAGGTCCTTTCTTTTTCAAATCGCCACCCTCAACTGGCAGCACAGTCTTACTCTCTTTAGCAATACCTTCTTCAGACTCTTGTTCCTTAGTGATGTCCTCCTCATAATCTTCTGTCCCCGATGACTCTTCTTGAATCACGGTCTTTTTCTTTTTAGCACTTCCACGCACTTCCTTCTTTTCTTCCTCTTTCTCACTTTTCTTGGAAGCAATAGAATCATCAGAATCAAAATTAAGCAGACTTGTGAAATTGACTTTTTGAGCGGCTTTACGCCTTGATCGTCTGACAATAGAACCGTCGGAAGAGGATTCCGACTCAGTACTAGATTTATAATGTTGTCTTTTACGAGATTTCTTGATAATATTTGGTTTTCTATCACTGTCAGATTCTGACTCTTCTCTACTTTCACTATCCTCTTCTTCACTTTCCTCGGATTTAGAATTTGATTTCTGATCTGATTTTTCATCAGAATCATCTTCCTCGCTACTGTCATCAGATCGTATCACGCGCCTCCGTTTAGGCTCTTGTTTTGATTTCTTATGCTTCAATTTTTTCAGCTTTTCATCGAAAGCTGTCCGAGATTTTTTGCGACTAGTAGGGCCACTTTCATCTGAACACAGATCTGCACTGTCCATTGATTCTTCTTCCTCCTCCTCCTCTTCCTCCTCCTCCTCTTCTTCTGACCGAGCCTCCCGATAGCTCACTCTCCTCCTAGCACGAGCCCTAGTTGAACGTCGGCACATTGCGCTATCATCACTATCATACTCTTCATCCACCACTGAAACAGGAAGTACAGAATAATTCTCAAGTGTTTCCACTTTCTGATTAGTTCAATGTAACCGCAGTGTCTACAGTGAACACAAGAAGTACTGTGGTCATCCAAAGTTGTATTACTGTAAATAATTCCATTTTCCTGTGATATTCTTTCTTTGCCAATTCAGGGGCAGATAATTCAACAATAAATTTTAGCTTACATATTAATTCCATAGCTGATAAGTATCAAAATGGAAATTTTATTATTTTTGTTAAATTAATCTCCAGCATTCTGGAAGCAATATCAGCAATTTTTCAACAAGATGCAATCGACACTGAAAATTCTTTCTTGTAAGATATCATTTATGTCTCCTATTAAAGCACTGAGTAAAAAGTTCTTACCAAAATCATCAAATCTGTTGCCACGACGTTTGCGTCTGCCACTTCGTCGTGTTGAAGCCCTCCGCGACCTAGACGTGCGCCAGGCTTCGCCATCAGCACTATAGTCACTCTCGTCATCATCATCATCCTCTTCCACTTCTTCTTGGATCTCAGATGCTGACCCACTGGAACACAATATTCTCTATGAAGAAATATCTTAACAGAGATGATGACATATAAAATACAATTATGAACCAAAGATCAAATCTAGTCTCATTCTAATTATATAAGCTTCATAGGTCTCGGCTCAGTAAAGGAACGCCAATTCCAAAGCTTAAACGTGACTTACATTCACTTAAAATGAAAAAAAAAAAAAAAAAGATTAATTTTCTGTTTAAGAATAAGAACTCTTGTGTTTTGAAATAAATCAATAACCGGGAATCTGAGAAGCATCTAAAACCAAGATTTAAAATAATGTACTTCTCTGTCGGAGTAAGAACTTAGCATTGTGACATGAGTCACTATACATTAACTCAGACGGTTCTCAGACATCTACTATCATATTTCTCTTTCTCTAAGAGAACACCGACACAACGTTTCAACAAAAGTCCCTACAAACATACACAGAAAGCTAGTAATAAGATTTCACTTATACTGTATTTCCTTGTCTCATTAAGATTGATAGTTTGACAGAAGTCCCTACACACATACTCAGAAAGCTGGTACTAAGATTTCACTTATTTTGTATTTTCCTGTCTCAACAAGAACTTGATAGTTTGACAGAAGTCCCTACACACATACTCAGAAAGCTGGTCCTAAGATTTCACTTATTTTGTATTTTCCTGTCTCAACAAGAACTTGATAGTTTGACAGAAGTCCCTACACACATACTCAGAAAGCTGGTCCTATGATATCATGTATACTGTATTTCCTTGTCTCATTAAGATTGATAGTTTGACAGAAGTCCCTACACACATACTCAGAAAGCTGGTACTAAGATTTCACTTATTTTGTATTTTCCTGTCTCAACAAGAACTTGATAGTTTGACAGAAGTCCCTACACATATACTCAGAAAGCTGGTCCTAAGATTTCACTTATTTTGTATTTTCCTGTCTCAACAAGAACTTGATAGTTTGACAGAAGTCCCTACACACATACTCAGAAAGCTGGTCCTATGATATCATGTATACTGTATTTCCTTGTCTCATTAAGATTGATAGTTTGACAGAAGTCCCTACACACATACTCAGAAAGCTGGTCCTATGATATCATGTATACTGTATTTCCTTGTCTCATTAAGATTGATAGTTTGACAGAAGTCCCTACACACATACTCAGAAAGCTGGTCCTATGATATCATGTATACTGTATTTCCTTGTCTCATTAAGATTGATAGTTTGACAGAAGTCCCTACACACATACTCAGAAAGCTGGTACTAAGATTTCACTTATTTTGTATTTTCCTGTCTCAACAAGAACTTGATAGTTTGACAGAAGTCCCTACACATATACTCAGAAAGCTGGTCCTAAGATTTCACTTATTTTGTATTTTCCTGTCTCAACAAGAACTTGATAGTTTGACAGAAGTCCCTACACACATACTCAGAAAGCTGGTCCTATGATATCATGTATACTGTATTTCCTTGTCTCATTAAGATTGATAGTTTGACAGAAGTCCCTACACACATACTCAGAAAGCTGGTCCTATGATATCATGTATACTGTATTTCCTTGTCTCATTAAGATTGATAGTTTGACAGAAGTCCCTACACACATACTCAGAAAGCTGGTCCTAAGATATCACATATACTGTATTTCCTAGTCTCAATAAGAACTTGACAGAAGTCCCTACACACATACTCAGAAAGCTGGTCCTAAGATATCACATATACTCTATTTCCTAGTCTCAATAAGAACTTGACAGAAGTCCCTACACACATACTCAGAAAGTTGGTACTCCTCACTGTCATCCTCTGGATTACTGCCACTGTCTAGAGCTGTAAGACTACGGCCCTTCTTCTTCCTTTTGCCTGCCACTCCGGCGGGTTTACCATCCTCCGCCTCCTCCTCTTCCTCTGTATCCTCCATTCCGAGGATGTTAGACATATCTTTACCTCTACTTCGCCCTGGTTTGGCTGATAATACAAAAAGTATGTTTACATTACTTAACATTCATGGTATGATCAAAGCTTGATATGTCACCACACTGTTAATAATATGCTTACAGAAGATTATGAACATCTAACATTTTAATTCCTCTCTCTGTCCCCAACGAGGCCATAAACTCCATCTCATACACTCTTAACAGAAAATGCTGTAGACAAAATTTTGTCAAAATATATTGTATGAATCAAATAGCAACATATAGATAAAAATTCTGAGAATCTCTTTCTCAGGGCTTTTTCAGGCACTTTTTGTTTTATGGATCAAATAGCAACGAATGAACAAATAACTTTAGAATCCCTTTCTCAGAGATTTTATCTGTTGGCTGTCATCAAAAGGCAAGTGCAAGTGTAAGTGGTCTATACAGAAAAAGTAAGGACATTAATATTTCTGTTGCATGTAAAAGGCTACCCCTGCACCCTTAGGTTTAGGAGGAGGGTATATCAATGGTCCTTAACAGACGACTATTAATGTACAAGACACATGAGTGTAGAACATTTCAACACTATTTAAAGTAATACACAGTATAGCTAAATAATTAAACTCCAACATCAAGACCATCGAGACAGTAAAACAAGAATATTACTCTCCTCAAAACACAATATCTCAAGTCTAATTTCTGAACATTTTCTTCAGGTGGGTTTGTATAATGAAGGTGACCGTGTAGTCATCAAAATGTGATACTCTATTCTTCTATGTGTTGTGTTAAAAGAACTGCTATCCTTTTACATGTCTAACCTTCAGTCCAGGCCTTTTCCACCTCTTGTTGTATCGCAGTGTTAATCATTTCATCATAGTCTTCAAATTTATAGCTCGTCTTGTTGCGCGAGCGACAGGAACGAGTTGCAAATGTTGGCTTGGACTTTTCTTTGTGGTGTTTGTGGTGATGCTTGTGGTGGTGATGTGCCTTGCGATACCGCTCTGGTCGTATCCCTTCATCACTACTTTCACTTTCCTCCTCAGGTTCAATGTTCTCCTTCAGTTCCTGACAAAAAAAAAATTACAACCGTTACCAGGTCTCTTTTCCAAGAAAAACTTTGACACGTTAAAACTTTAACCGGAATACTTCTCTTAAGGAAAACTTCAACACGCTACATTTTAACACGACTCTTTCCGTGGGAAACTTCAAATTTTGCTAGCTGCGGTAAGTAATGAACAACTGAAGGGAAATAACTCTTATCCGATGGCTTCATAAATATGGAGAAAAGGGGTCTTACGTCTTGGGAACGCACATTTTAAACTCTAGATGACATTTTCAGGACATGGGCCCTTTCTTGCTTAAAGAAATTTTGCCAAGAGTTGAGAATGCTGGGTAATCTTACCTCATTTAGGATATTGTCCAAACTAATCCCAACGTAGGCTAACCTCTCCTTCCTGCAAAAATATCAACATAAATATCTTAAAAAATAATAAAAACAAAACATGTTTTTGAAAAAATTAATATCTCCCTTTTGTAAAATTATCAAATACATGATAACTTAAATACAACAAGCAGCATTAACCACTATAATGTTTGAGTAAATCACAGAAAACACATTTCTGTTTGAAACACAGAATTTTTCAGTTCTGGGAAAAATGAACATATGCAAACCAGATTGATGAATAAATACCTACAAAATTGATACAAAGTTTAATTCTAAACTCTAAAATACCAAAATAATTATTCCAGTGTTCCACATATTCATCATATATCACCTTTTGGTTAATCTGTCTTTTTTCTTCAGAGCAATGTCTAGTTCTTTGAGATTAGCTAGCAGGCGTTCGACTAGCATTTTCTGTAAAGTGAAATACAATTTCTTACAATTATGAAATTCTTGATTTTCATTCAGAAAGAGATTTCTCAGTTTAGTGAAGTTTATTATTGATTTACATCCTATTAACAGCCAGGATCATTTAAGGATGTGTCAGGTTTGGGTGGTGGAGGAAAGCCTAAGTTCCCACTGAAAAACCACCAACCTGCGACCAGCACCTGTCGACTGCCTCCATGTAGGTCTCAAACCTCCAAGGTGGAGGGCTAGTAATAAAGAAAGTCAGACGCCTTATTTCTCTTGACAACCGCAGCCCCGTCACTAACAGATGGTTTTAAGATACATGTATAGGCATCATAGAATGTTGAAATTGAGATCAAGGGATGCTGCTTTTTTAAAGCCATTTTCAAGAAGCGATCCATTTTGGACAAATATTTCATCAAAAAAAAAAATGAGCAATTTCAGTTTACATACATGTTCACAAGGAGGACAAAACCACTCGCCATCAGGTATGATCATAAGAGGAGGACGTAGACAGGCGGTGTGGTACCCCGCATCACATTTATCACACAGCAGAATCTGGAAAACAAAAGCAAGATTTATAGAATCTTTCAACTTTAAAAGATTTCTACAGATGTTTCAAAACAACATTTCATTTCTTTCCAAGTACCAATATAGCATGAAGCTTTGTGGAGCGTTAATTTCAACAAGTTGAGATTTCTGTCTTCAAGACTCAGAGGTGATTGGTTTACTCTCATATGTATACTTTTCAATTGTTCGAAACTTTAAAATCTTTAAATTTCGAGGAGGAATTCATACATGTGTGTCCAAAAACTGTTAAGTAAGTTTAAGTAGATATATTGAGCAATTAAGTGTCCATGAAATAATTATCTTTAGAAAAACCATGAAAATTGAGCCCCACCAAAATGTATGATTTTACAGTAAGTGGTAATGTGATGACAAGATCCTATTGAAAATGATGTATTTATCACATATAAGCAGCTTCAGAAAGATAAAGGTAATGAAATACGACAGAATCAATCACCTGTGTGTGTTGTAGACAAAGACAACCCTAACTCTTGGGATAGATTTAATTTAAGTTCTGCCAAGTGATAAACTGAAAATATTGGCATGGTCTACACCACACAGAGGAAATAAATAGATTTTTCTAACATATTTTATTATCAATGGGACATCAAGGTAAAAACATATCCTTTTCTTTCAATTAGACAAACATGCTGATTACTGAGATAAATCTTTGATGTTTTGATGCTATCACCATACATTAGGTCTATAGGGATGTCAGTTTTGTTCCCAAAATACATCAGCAGTAATTACATAATAGTAAGTGATGGTTATCACAGAAACAGGTAGTCTCATCTGTAAACACATGTACAGTAACCGCTTAATGAGAGAAATAACTTGTATTACCAGCAATGATACAGTTAGTGTTTTGTGTTGATACATTTTTTTTCTGAAAGACATTTTGCAAAGAACATAGTACACACTTAATTGTTTATAACAGTTTCAACACTTTTCAATATTATAGCTTAAACACTACTCAATATGTTTTTTTTTTCCAAAAATTTCTTATACAACAGAAAATTATCACAATCTGACTCTCTAGGGGCCCTTCTACATTAAAGCTATCCAGCTGAGGATTTCTTCATCATACAATATACCTAATCCCATCATTTCATTGAGTCTAAACAAATTCAAATTCTAACTACCACACCATTTTTACAAAATGAATTTATGTGTGTGAAAAAATTCTGACAAAGTCATAAAAACAAAATGTATTCTTTACTATAAAAAACTGTGTTACAGTAATGACGTTCCTACAAAGTCTTAGTACACTCAATGAAATAAAAAAAATATATAGGTCACAGTGACTTAAATATCACAAGACGGTGAAGCTATCGTCTCCTGAAGTATACCTACATGTTTGATATTCTTCCTACTAAGGTCTACAGATCACAAGATTAAAAAGTTGGATGGAAAAGTGACAGTAGTGGGTGATGGGGGCTATCCTTGCCAAGCTCCTATTGGACATTAACCAAACCTACAGGTGCTGTCTTACAATACCTACCCATTCCGGTTGATTGTATTTAAGGCACTTGCAGCAGGGTGTATCGTCCGGCACAACTCGCTTTTTTTCTTCTTCAACTGCCTCTGCAAAGACAAGCCATTGAAATCAAGTTAGCAATCAACCTTCAATAATTGTTTTCTTGAAAAGAAATCCATCCTGCAGGATGTCGAAAGATAAAATTGACCATTACTATGTACATACATTATATATATTTTTCTATTTCTGTCCTAAAAGATATTAACTGAAAATCCCCCAATTAACATCAGATTCAACAATCAGATTTAGGGTTAAAAAAAAATCCTGAAAATTGTTGAAAATTAATCTGAATATACCAATTAATATGTATGTTTATCTATTAAAATTATTTTGTAGAATTGGATACTTCAGATACCTTGTTAAAGAAATTAAGTTAAAAACAAATCATTGCATTACTGCCTTCTTTCCAATATTGCAAGATATTTACAAAGTAACATTTTTTTAGGACTGGTAGTTAAAAAATTCAGAAAATTTTTTAAAAAATCTTTCTGAAAATTGCAATTTAACTTAAGCATGAGCTTTTCCATATATATTTTATAGATATGAATTTCATTGTATGATAATATACATTTCAATGAGCGAAAAAATGAAGTATTCATACCAATAAGAATTTTCAGCTGAAGTTTCACATCACACAACATTACATTGATTTAGTGAAGATCATAGGGATTACTTACTTATGGCTGCTTGCCTTCTTGCGTTTCTCCCCTTTTGGATTTTGAAATCCTCATCAGAATCATATTCCGACTCAATCTGAAATTCACTACTCTCATCACCGTTGTCTTTCAGCAGCTCCTCATCTGTCGATGCCTCAAACAGCAGTAATTTCTTCTTTTTCTTTTTGGCCATTTTCCTCACACGAACACTCCTTCTTCGCCCAGACAGATCCTCTTCCTCCAGTTCTGTTGCTGAGGACGAGGACGGGGTTTCGACTTTAGGGGCTGGGGCTGGTGTGGACTTTGGAGTCACATTCCTCTTACCCTTTGGAGTTGCTTTTGGTGTCGACTCCTCCTCATCACTATCAAATTTTTTCTTCTACAAAAATATCAATGAACATTTGGATAATGACAAAATTCAAAATTACATAAATCTATGGTTGTGATATTTTATAATAAACTTTGTTTATTCATTTATGTAATTATATTATACCCGGCATGCTGCTAGTTGAATTGGATTCAGAAACAAGGTTTTTCAATTAACCTGGTACATAAAATCCACCTATGCAAAGCATTTATCATAGGTATATCGTCAAGATGATCTATCATTAAAACTTTCATTAAATTACATCAGTAAGTACATCAGTCACGAGTGCAAAAATGCTGCTTCATCTTGTACATATTGGTTTTTTTAAACCTAAAATCCATTGATAACCATACTTGATTCCAATACAGAAGGAATGGTCAGAAATCCACAACAATATAGGGCAAAACAGTACAATTTCATATTCAGAGAATATTTCTAAAATTCAATTGTTATATAGCCAACCAATATTTTTGTAAACATTTCAATTTTTTCCAGCACTAAACATAAAATCTCCAAGCTACACATTGTACATTGTATCATCATGTTTGCAGTATCTCTGTGTATCATTATAACAGATTTTTTCTTTCTCTCGAGTTGAATGTTCATTAAAAGTCAAAGCCAGATATATGCTCACCTTGACAGGTCGAGAACTCTTCCTGGTGGGTGTCGTCGCTGATTCTGTCTCACGTTTGTTCCCTTTACTTTTCCCTCGTGCTGCCTTTCCTCCACTTCGATTTACTTTACTCAGAGGAACATCATCACTGTCCACGCTATCCTCTTGAGAGGAAGAAGATGTAGCAATGACTCGGGCTGGTACTCTCTTCCTCGACTTTCCCTTTGCCGCAGCTTTCTTACCTCCCTTTAATTTCTTGGAGTCTGGTTCAGCAGATGATGTGTCAACAGATTCCTCCACCTGCAGCTGTCGTTTCCGAGTTTTACTTTTAGCAGTTTTTGTTTTCTCTTTCTCATCAAGCGATACATCTCCATTGACTTTTTCTTTATCCTCTTTATCATCATTTGCTTCCTGATCAGTTTTATTCGTTACACTGGTTTCATCCTTCTTTTCTTCCACATTATTGTCTTTAGAATCTATATTATCAACTGCCTTTTTCACCTGCTTATTCCTGTTAGACCTAGGTGTCACTTTCCTTGCCACTGGTAGAGGAGCCTGAGGCAGAGATACTGATTTCCTTGACCGTGAACTTCTTCGTAAGCCACCAGTATCCTCGTCGTTATGTTCTACTTGATGTTTTTCTTCACTTTTTTCCTTACTTTCCTCACATACATCATCCTTTATTGCCTCAGTCTTTTCTTTTTTCTCTGTCAATACCTCTTCACTTTTCTCCTCCCTCGACTCCTTGGCTGGTTCTTCAGAATCGCCACCATCTCCTACATCTTTATCAGACTTCAGCTTTTCCTCCAATGTTTCATCCTTTTTGGCAGTGGCCTCAACATTTTCACTCAGAGTACTCTCCTGTCCTGTCTTTTGTTTCAGACTTTCATTGTCAACATTGTCCAACTTTGTCTCACCTTTACTTTCAAGTTTCTGACCTTTGTCCTTGGTGTCCGATTTTGTCTCACTTTTACTTTCAAGTTTCTGACCTTTGTCCTTGGTGTCCAATTTTGTCTCACTTTTACTTTCAGGTTTCTGACCTTTGTCTTTGGAATCTGTCAGTTTTTCTTCTTTTTCAGTCATTTCTATAGATGTTTTATCACCTTCAGCTGCAGGTAAAACTGACGTTTCCTCCAAGTCAGATTGTTTTGGTAACTCATCACTGCTTAACTTACTTTCAATCTTATCTTCCTTAGATTTATTGCCTTGGGTTTCAGCGATTAACGGAGATTTATCTCCTTCATTTTCCTTTGTTTCTTTCTCTTCTTCCTCTTTCGTAATTTCCTTAGTTTCAACTTTCTCTGATTCATTCTCACACTTTCTGTCTTTGTTTTCCTCTGTTTCTATTGATTCTTTTTTCACACTATCACAGTCCTTTTCTGATTTATCTTTCACATTAACATCTTTATCTGTACTTTCTTCTACACATTTTGGATCTGGTTTTTGTTTGTCTTTTTCATTTACATCAGATTGTTCTTTTCCTTTTAAATTTTCATCTAAAGATCCCTCATCTTTAACCTCACTTTTAACATCTTCTTTATCTACTTTGACTGTCTTTTCTTTATTCAGATCTACTTCCATTTCATCTTTATTTTCATCTGTGTTTTCAGGTAATTCTATCTCTGATTTATCTTTCACTTTACTTGACTCACAAGAACTTTTTGTCTCTTCATCACAAGTTTTTACACAATCAGATTTTGTTTCTTTCACTTTTGTATCACTTGTTTCAACAGATCTAGTCATTTTATCCTCAACCGAATCTTCTTTATCTTTCACACCATCCTTATCTTTTCCTTCATCTTCTGTTTCTGCACTTGTTTCTTTATTTTCTTTATTCTCGTCTGTATCCTTTAACGTATCATCTACAGATTTATCTCCCTTCATTTCCTCTTTCTCTTCCTGTGTTGTGTCTTCAGATCTCAATTCCTGATCTTTCTCTTTTTCCTTGTCATCATCCTTTTGAGAATCATCTAATGCCGAGATATTTTCTGTATTTTTCCTACTTTCGTCCTCAGCCACAATACTACATTCATTATCTTTTTCTTTTGAACTTTCACTGCTTTTTTCTTCTTTCTCATCGCATTCATCCACTTTCTCCTTTTTCACTTCAATAGCACCCTCCTCTTCATTAGCTTCCTTTTTCAATTGTGTAGATGACGTGTCTTGCTGTGGCTTTTCTGCCTCTGGTTGAACTACAACACCATCCACTTCATCCGCTGGTTCAGCTTTCACTTTGGGCGATTGTTCGTTCTCGGTCTGTTTATCAGGCTCCTTTTTGATTGGTGGATTAGAGTCCAGCGAGTCTTCTGATGTCTCTGTTTTTATGTTGGTTTTGTCTTCACTTTTTACACTGTCTCCTGATAAAATGAGGAAAACAAAGAATAATGGACAACGTTCACAGATTTAAATTGTAAAATACTGTATTTTTATATACATTTATAAAAATTACAAAACCTTGTTAAGATATTGTCTTAAATCATTTTTCAAACGAGGGCATAACAGAGGGATGCTTACACAGGAACACTAATATCTGAATTCCAATTCAAGTTTGGGTAATTTAGGCTGCATATATGCATGGTAGCATAATTCAAATGTCCTATAAAGTTCATTTAAGGATGTCTTCCTCAGAGAAGTTGAAAATTCCAGTACAAACCAGTTTTCTGGTGATGATTTTTTTGAAAGATTAGATTATAGAAAATAGATTAAAAACAAAAAATCAATATTTTCCACACTACTTTTCCATTATAGACATCAGAATGTGTAACAGAAAATAATTCCCTTTCACATATCATTCTTCATTTTTCCTGAACAACAGACATCCCTAGTTATTTTTACAGCAACTTCTTTTCAAATAAATTTCTATCCTTCATCAAAAGGTATGATACATGGATATTAAGCAAAAATACAATGAGAATGCTTAGTTTTCATTTGATTTAATGAGCTTAAATCTGCACAGCAACAAAAAATTGAAAAAATACGACTTAAATCCTCTTTTGACCATCTTCTAGTACTTAATGTTTTTCAAAGACTTCATGTTTAGATAGAGAACTTTTCAAGGATATGTTTCATGATTAAAAAAGAAGGGGTATCTGCAATTTAACTTTTGCAGTTTTCGCCCAAATAGCCAGTTTTTCACAGATCTGGAAACAAGCTGAAATATTTGTTTTCAGGTCCTTAAAATCAGGGAAAGTGGTCTACCAAGTTGCAACTCATAAATTTGAAAAAAATCTGTGATTACCAGTGATCATTCTTGCAAAATTTAGTTAAATTCTACCCAAGACTTTCAGAGTTATATTCATGAGAAGTATCTTAGCAACAAAAAAACATTGAAAGTTGTTGACAGTATTAACCTAACAGCACCATGAGTAAGAATCTTGTACATACCAGAGTTAGTACTGATGTCCTCTTCTGGAGTTTTTAGACCAATACTGCTCTCTAGGTTTCCTATCAAGACTGCAAGCTCCGATCTATTTCTGTAAAGTACAGCAAAGTCAAATTTCATTTTCTCATATCAAAATGTTTAATATGATAAATCACATAGTTTACAAGACTGTAATATTTATTTGGTTTAGGTAATTTCTAAATACTTTTTGTGATGATCAATTTCTTCAGAGAAAAAGTTTTTACTTAAACAAGTTTTAAAATTTGTAAGTTTCTGAAAAAATTGAACTAAGCAGTGACTGCTTTTAAAATGTTTCTCTTTATAAGACAAATCAGTTGGAGAGTATGTTGACCTGCAAACTGTCATCAACACTTCATGGTGAATATTTTACCTGCACAAAGAATCCTGGTTATCAACACTTTACCTGCACAATAATTACTTACCATAAACAATTTACCTGCACTTTATTTCATTGTTTGGCTACTCTGTAACTAATCCCAAATTTGTATTGGATGGTTCTATTCATGTTTGTGTCTTTTGTACAACCCTAATATCCTCTTGACTAATATTTTACCAAATATTTACCTGTACATTATTTTCCATATTTGCACTTTACCTGCACACTAACTCCCAATGATAAATAGTAAAACAACATTTTCCCTGCACAATAATTCTCTGTGGCTGACATGCTAATAATTACATGAGCACTATTTTTCATGTTTGTATTTTACCTGCACACAACTCCCTGTGATTACCATTTTACCTGCACACTAACCTCTCACTTAACCTGCACCAACTATCGATTATTAACTCTACCAACAAGTTACCTGCACACTATTTCCCAGGTCTCTGCATCTACATCATCCTGGTCCTCACGGTACACCATCAGATTCTGTTCTTTGTCCTGAAATGTAAGTAATTTCTGTTAAAAATTTTGAAATATTTTCTTTTTTTTTATGTACTGTATGAAACCCAGAAGACAACACACACAGGTAGGTAGGACAATGATTCTTGGAGAAAAATGGTAGCTGGCCTGAGGATTTTTCTGGTCAGAATTCATGTACCGTATTAAACAGGAAAGTCAGCAACCCAAGTCACTGGGACACTTACCAGTATGTACCAATAGGCTAGTCCATTCTTGTCCCTGCCAATGGGCTGGAATCTCATAGCACCTGGTTCTTCTTCATTTACCTTTTCTTTGAATTTGGTGTTGTAGTCAAACTGGTTCTCTAGTAAATTCTGCAGTTATCAAGTGTATTTTGTCATTGAATTTTGCGAGTTGAAATGGTTAGCTACATCTGTTAATTTTCTATGGAATATTTTGAAAGGACCAAATAACTGTGTACAACTTTAAATGTGTGTGTTAATAACTGTTTTCCAATAAAAAGAGAGAGAAAATAGTCAGTTTGTTTTTTTCATGGGGTTTTACGTCCTTACAACAAGGGTCATATGAAAGTAGAGGTCAAGCAGGATGCAAATAGAGGGAAAAAGCATGGAAAGAAAGAGACAGGAACAAAAGACCTTGAGCAAGGAAATGATGATGTGACATCATAGATTAATGACGTCATGAAGAAATCATGTCATGACTCATTTGAGAACAGTATTTAAGTAAAAGCCTAAAAAAAAAACATCTAAATCTGCTACCTTGTAAAGAAATAATCAAGAACAAATAAATAGCATTAAAACCTGTTTAGGATAAATTAATTGACTCCGTTATTTTTAATAGGACATTGTGACATGTAATAATGTAAATCATGAATTTTTTAAATAAAATAGTATGCCACTTGCATGAAGATTTGTGAACTTCATTATTAAAATCCACATTAAATAGATGTGCTTTAAGACCTATTATATACAAATCTAAAACCAATTTCCACAACAATTTAACATTAAATGCCATGTGGATTCTCACAAACTGTGTGTGAGATTTTACAACTTTAAAAATTTTAATTTGTATGTAAGTAATTGTTATAACTTATAAAATCTGGAAACATCAATGACAATGGTGTTTATGCTTCTTGAAGTTAGGAAAATGTAAATTTTTCTGTAAAAATTTTCAACGGATACAGAAAATGGCATATCTACGGTAATCTGTCCTGTTCATGGTAGTGAATGGTTTTATATGAATTACCTTTAGGATTTTTAATTTTGTTGATATTTTGGAATGTTTGTAGCCGAATCTCTCCACCTCCCACGCGTCTATTTCTGAATAGGTGTAACAGTACTGAAATACAAAACAAGTCAGTGACATCACATTTATGCATAAAAGATAAATCATGATACTCTATTTTGATTTTTTCTAAATTCATCAAGTCAGAACTATGTACCTAAACTTACACTACAATTCTATTTCAGCATTTTTCATACTGAAAGTACATGTATGGCACTAATTGTTTTAGTATGTTATTTATAACTAATTAATGTTGATACACAGGCTGATAATTGTCCAAATTTGCCAAAATTTGATAATGTGTTAAAATTTCATTGTGCCAAATAAAGCAAAAATGTAATTCCCCTCTATGTATCTCCATCTTCCTCACCTTGACGACGTATCTTTCCCATTTCTCGGTTGACACAGAACCCTTCCCAACTCGTCTCAACAGCCGCACATGAATATCTATGAGGAACGATGACACTACAAGACAACAGATACAAGTTATGAAAGTTTGTAAAAATTGAACCATAGATCAATCCAAATTTAGCTTGTTTATTTGTTTGATTGCTTGTTTGTAATGTGCTAGCTGGATGAATACCACCTCTTCAAATGCCAGGGTCATTTTGAGGAAGGATTTTCTTGTAGAAGCAGATGGATACCTTAGTGAACAACATACAGAAGGTCTGTCGCATGCTGTCTAGAGTAAATTAAGGTTAAGTGTTTTGCCCAAAAAAATAACCACAACAGCATAGACAAATTGTATAACACAGGCTCCTTGTAATCATATGTTTTTGATACCTATCATACTACATGCAAAATCTTGACACACCATACTCTTGAAAAGCAAAACCTGAATACTATGTACCAATAAATAGCTAAACAAGCAAATCTCTGTTGTTGCTGTGCAACAATCTCACCATCATCCTATCTTCATCCAATACATCCCTTTGGACAGAAAACAATTCAATGAAAGGGGACTTATGCTAATAAATATTAAGTACAACAATCAAGTGTTCAAAATGTTCAAACAAGTGCTTCTTCCACTTCAGTTTGGAATCTTGTAATTTCAATCTTATCATCTTATAGCATTCAAGTCTCATTCTTCATGTTGAAGAATTATTTTCTTCCTTTTTCAGACACATATTCCATCGATACACTATGTCATTTGTCCTGAAGTATCAAGAGTTTTGATGAGAATTGTCACTATTTCAATCTGGCACATAAGTTTTAAAGAAGAGAAATACTTGCTGGCAATTTTAATGAAATTAATGAGCTTAAACAATACTGAATGTGAAAAAAATCCCCAAATCCAATCATTAAGATATTTAACAATTTTACACATTTATTTTGAAGAAACATTAATATGGGATGTGAAAAATCTTACCTATTTAAAGAATATGTAAACTTTTTTTTAAATGACAAACAGGATACAGGCACACATGTCTTATTTCAAATCATATTAAGAGTGATCTTCATTCATACTGAAATACTATTTAACGTTAACATGCCCTTGAACACTTAATGATACTAAATGCTGTACTTAAATACAATCCTTGGTATCAAAAGTTAATCATCAAAAACATTCCAGTCTATGCAGATAAATCATTGTACATGAAAAGGGAGGTGACTTGTACACAGTGTTAAATCTGCCTTCTATAAATTCAACATTCAATCAATATATTGTGTCAAATCATTTATGCTCAAGGGGCTCTATATTTGTTGATTGGTGGGTACCCTTTATCCATGAATTCATATGTCCATGAACAGTTAAACTGGTATAAATATATACTACATAGAATTATTTATTCACAAATGAAGTGTCCTTAAAATTTTTTTTCAAAACCACCAAAATTATGTATCACAATATGCCCAATACATGTGTATACAGCTACAGATTGAATCTAACATTAGGCTGAGTACATCCACTCCCTCCTATTAATTTCCAAACAAATGTGATATCTATATATATGCACTTAAGACTTTGACTGGTACATGCGCCGAGTATATAAATGATCTTGGGTTTTAATTTTTTTTAATTAATGAAGGATGTAATTACTAAAGGGGGGTAACTGTGATTTGTTGATATTTCTTTTATCTGAATACAAGTGGATTTGTGATCAAAACATACCGACATTTTTGCTCATTTTAGAACTAATATCACATAATAATCATCACTGGCTGTGGATAAATAGTTTCCTATATAAGTTGGCTTCACTATAATTGGGCTGTTTACAAAAAAGTGTTTAATGAAAACCAGACATTTGCAGATGTTTTCGGCGTTACGCTATTTGTTTGCATAACTTCATTAGGACGCTGCACTGTGTCTGTGATATTAACTCTAATTGTTGTGTAGTAAGGATATAAAAATGCGTGAATAACAATCGATACGATTGCAACAATTAAGCTGTGTGACAACGTAGCGAACCAAATATGTGTTAGGTAGTCAAATGAAAGCTAAACTGAATCAATTGATTTAAGAAAAATCGCGAATTTACATCTGAAAACAATGAAAATGCTATGTCGGCCTCAATTATTTCTAAAGTAAAACGGATTTATGCAAAGATCGTGGCATACCATGCTTTGTGTCCTCAATCCAATTTTGCAGATCTACATGCGAAGTTTCTGCAAGCCCCAATCTCTCGCCATATTTGTCGAGAAACGAGCAAATAACGGCAAAGTTGGGATCACTGTGGCAGATCGCTTCTGATGCAGCCGCCATCTTGATTATGCTAATGACTGCAAATACACATAACTTTTGGGAAATATCTTAAATGTTGTTCTTAAAATTACTAAACGAACGCGTTACCTTATAATTTTAATATAGGTTTGATTTATTTCGGCGTATACGTGTTATTAATATAAAGTTAAACAAATTAATGCCTCTCACATGATACGAAACTAAACGTTGAATACAAAGCTAGCTATTTTAGCTGCCTTCACCTTTACTGTAAACAAAAGCATCTACTATAGTCTGTTTCAATAATCTTCGTCTGCAAAGTGATTAGCACCTATCGACATAAATTAAGAATTAAGTATAGCGTAGACAGACGATGCATTAAGCAACTGTTTCGTCCTTCTTGCACTCGTCAGTGATGCTAAAGGTCAACCTAGGAGGCGACTGAGGAAAATCCAAAGTAATTAGAATTAATGTAAAAAACAAGACTGCGCCAAGCTGAACCTCAGCTTTAAGTTAATCCAATCGATGTCAAGATTTTCAACACTGGTTAATTTCACAGGAACATGGCCGTTCTTATTATTCCTTTGGATTAAAACGTGACAACGATAGGTTGAATTTGAGTACAATTTGAGTAAAAGAATGAAATAATTTTCCTTTAAATTTTATAAGCCAAATATGCCCGAACACATACAATAATACAAAAGAGGGTATCCTTATGTTTTTTTCAATGAAAAAAAAAAAAAACACGAGTTGAAAAAAGAAAGATTGACATGGATACCCCGAAATTACAAGAGAATATTAGATATCGAGTGTTCTGGAAGTGTATACATCAAAAGTGTCAACATAGACGAAACCCGCTTTGTAACTAGTCTTGGTTAAACCAAGCAAATAATGTCAAGTTCCCAAAAAAGAACAATGTTAATTACTAAGGAACTTCAGCTATACTAACGAATGATAGATATATTTAAATAAATATTCCAATAGCAAATAGCATTTGTTTCCCAATAAGATCATTGTGGCGACCACAATTGTGGATTCATTGAACTATCCCAGCAGGTCATCGATCATCATCGATGCTCCAAGTCAAGGTTAATGTCACTTTAGCTCTCTGTACCCCTGGAACATTTCACGACAAAAATAATGTTCCATGTGCGACACTTTATGGATAAGACCAGTGACTTGTTTGATCCTTTGATGTACCTCAAACGAATCTCGATGTCTCATAACGGTATGTTGTAATGACTCTGAAGTAGGATATCGCTCGTTTTGTAATTTCAAAGGAGCGTATCAATCTGCAGATTGTCTTTTTTTCTCCCGCAACCCGCTCTAGACCAATGAAATTACTTTGCTTGTGCCTTTGATTTTGGCATGAAATATCACAGGAGAGCAGAGAGCAATAGTGAGCGTGGTCCTTACCATCGAGAAAGGTCACTGATACTTCAATGGTAATAAAACTCATTCTTACGGACGAACACTAGAAAATTATGTAACTACATGTATAAGTACTTATTAACATGAAATCGTATTTTTCATAAATAATGTATATTGAGCTTTGTAAAGGTTGAAGTCGTTTATGTATGTGACAACGGTGTCATATGTATATTACAATACCTGTATTTGTAACCGTAAACGATTATGCGAAAAAGAGACATTTTTTTATTAACAAAACTGGCGAAACAAATTTCGTTAGAAAAAAACGTCACCTATAGAGGATGAAGCAATGAATTAAGACTATGTATCGGTTTAGACATATCTTAAATCAAATACATATCTACATGGGGATTATTTCAATAATTTTCTTCGGAGATTATATAAAGACAAACAAGTGAATAACACCTTTTAATACAACTTTAGATTTAGACAAAGTAGAATCAAACAATGAATTAAACTGCATCATACAGCTGTTTCGTCCTTCTAGGACTCGTCAGTGATGCTACATCATACAGCTGTTTCGTCCGTCTAGGACTCGTCAGTGATGCTACATCATACCGCTATTTCGTCCTTCTAGAACTCTTCAGTGATGCTGCATCATACAGCTGTTTCGTCCTTCTAGGACTCGTCAGTGATGCTGCATCATACAGCTGTTTCGTCCTTCTAGGACTCGTCAGTGATGCTACATCATACAGCTGTTTCGTCCTTCTAGGACTCGTCAGTGATGTTACACCACACAGCTGTTTCGTCCTTCTAGGACTCGTCAGTGATGCTTCATCATACAGCTGTTTCGTCTTTCTAGGACTCGTCAGTGATGCTTCATCATACAGCTGTTTCGTCCTTCTAGGACTCGTCAGTGATGCTTTATCATACAGCTGTTTCGTCCTTCTAGGACTCGTCAGTGATGTTACATCATACAGCTGTTTCGTCCTTCTAGGACTCGTCAGTGATGCTACATCATACAGCTGTTTCGTCCTTCTAGGACTCGTCAGTGATGCTTCATCATACAGCTGTTTCGTCCTTCTAGGACTCATGGGCGACATTAAAGACCGTATATTTTATACGCAGAGTGTGAGAGAGAGAGAGAGAGAGAGAGAGAGAGAGAGAGAGAGAGAGAGAGAGAGAGAGAGAGAGATGAGAAAGTGTCTATTGTATTGTTGTATGATGTGATAGTGTCTATTGTATCGTTGTATGATTAGGTAGTAGTGTCTATTGTATCGGTGTATAATGAGGTAGTAGTGTATATTGTATCGTTGTATGATGAGGTAGTAATGTCGATTGTTTTGTTGTATAATGAAGTAATAGTGCATATTGTATTGTTGTATGATGATGTAGTAGTGTCTATTGTATTGTTGTATGATGAGGTAATAGTGTCTATTGTATCGTTGTATGATGAGGTAATAGTGTCTATTGTATTGCTGTATGTTGAGGTTATAGTGACTATTGTATCGGTGTATAATGAAGTAATAGTGTCTATTGTATCGTTGTATGATGAGATAATAGTGTCTATTGTACCGTTGTATGATGAGGTAATAGTGTCTATTGTATCGTTGTATGATGAGTTAATAGTGTCTATTGTATCGTTGTATGATGAGGTAGTAGTGTCTATTGTATTTCTGTATGCTGAGGTAATAGTGTCTATTGTATTGCTGTATGCTGAGGTAATAGTGTCTATTGTATCGTTGTATGATGAGGTAGTAGTGTCTATTGTATCGTTGTATGATGAAGTAGTAGTGTCTATTGTATTGTTGTATGATGAAGTAGTAGTGTCTATTGTATCGTTGTATGATGAAGTAGTAGTGTCTATTGTATTGTTGTATGATGAAGTAGTAGTGTCTATTGTATTGTTGTATGATGAAGTAGTAGTGTCTATTGTATTGTTGTATGATGAAGTAGTAGTGTCTATTGTATTATTGTATGATGAGGTAATAGTGTATATTGTATCGTTGTATGATGAGATAAGTGTCTATTGTATTGTTGTATGATGAAGTAGTATTGTATTGCTGCATGATGAAGTAATAGTGTTTATTATATTGCTGTATGCTGAGGTAATAGTGACTATTGTATCGTTGTATGATGAGATAATAGTGTCTATTGTATTGCTGTATGATGAGGAAGTAGTGTCTATGGTATCGGTATATGATGAGGTAGTAGTGTCTATTGTATTGTTGTATGATGAAGTAGTAGTGTCTATTGTATCGTTGTATGATGAAGTAGTAGTGTCTATTGTATTGCTGTATGATGAAGTAGTAGTGTCTATTGTATCGTTGTATGATGAGGTAGTAGTGTCTATTGTATCGTTGTATGATGAGGTAGTAGTGTCTATTGTATTGTTGTATGATGAGTTAATAGTGTCTATTGTATCGTTGTATGATGAGATAATAGCGGTGATCGATGTATTACTATGTGATAGTGTCTATTCTATCAGCTTCTAACATTATGCCATGATATTAAGTCAATGTATATAAATATACTAGTTTTGGTTCGCAACTTGTTGTGCCGTTACTTAAGATAGCGAAATGACGTCGCGCTTTCACAAAATGCGTTCTGATGTCTTAATGATGACCAAAATTTCTTAATCAAACTCGTCACGATTTTTTCATTTGACCTCGTCCAAGATACTTTCAGTTTAGCTTGCCAAAGGCTAGTTCAAACGAAAAACTCTTAGTCTTTTATAATAAAAAATATCACATTTTAAGCGTTGTATTCAGTGAGGATGGAAAACATTCACAATGTTTTACCTTAATTTGGTGAAAATTTTTTAACTATTTCTTTAATTTCGTATATAAAGAATAAATGGTTTTATTAAGATAGCGCTTTAAAAAACAACAATGCCCTATAGAATCACGTACTAGTCCGTTCTCTCTCTCTCTCATCATACAACGATCTCTCTCTCTCTCTCTCTCTCTCTCTCTCTCTCTCTCTCTCTCTCTCTCTCTCTCTCTCTCTCTCTCTCTCTCTCTCTCTCTCTCTCTCTCTCTCTCTCTCTCTCTCTCTCTCTCTCTCTCTCTCTCTCTCTCTCTCTCTCTCTCTCTCTCTCTCTCTCTCTCTCTCTCTCATTTTGTTCGAAAATGGATACATACCGACTTTCTTCCACTGTCCGAGAAGTCTATTTGTATTAGCTGAAAGCAGGTACCTGTCATGATCGCCTATTTCTCGAGGTTATATCAAACATGTCTATATAGACCAATCTGAATTATATAACCTTGACATTCATACTAAGGGGCCCTAGATCATACATTATATCGACAGGATGCAATTTACAACAATTGATAAAAAGTTAAATAAACGAATTAAAGAGTGAACTTTTTATAATCAAGCATTTTCATATAGATAAACCTTCTGCACAGACAATAACGGAAATTCATTCATAAATACCATGAAATAAAGACACGGTTAACGCGTACTCACAAGAAAACGGAACAGTGTACAAAACCTCAGTATACCATACCGCACATGGCACGATCGCATTATTAGAAGCGATTAGGAGCACTCTTTCGGGGAGCTTTGTTCATGTGACAACCCATGCTTGACAGTAAAATCACACTTGGCTTCTTGAAGACGTGTTTAATACGCTCTTGTATTCTGTATATATACAACAGGACAAATCT